AGACAGGGATGCCCACTTTCGCCACTCTTATTTAACATAGTACAGTGATACCTCGGTTCTCGAACATAATTCGTTCCAGGAGGACGGTCGAGAACCGAATTGTTCGAGAACCGAAGCAATGAAACCCAATAGGAAAGCGTGACTCCACAAAGCGTGACTCTCTCTCTGCACTCACACTGATGACGCAAGCAAGGCGCGCTGGGCCGAATGAACGCCATTCGGCTCAACTCAGCTCATCTCGGAAGTTCGAGTTCCAAATATTTGTTCGGATTCCGAGACAAAAGTTTCTCGAATCTCCTGGTCGAATACCGATTTGGTCGAAAACCGAGGCGTTCGAGAACCGAGGTATCACTGTACTGGAAGTCTTTGCAATCAGACATGAAGAAAAAATAAAAGGGATCCAAATTGGAAAGGAGGAAGTGAAACAGATGACATGATATTATACATAGAAAACTCCAAAGACTCCATCAAAAATTTACTACACTTAATAAATGAATTTGTCAAGTAGCAGCATACAAAATTAATGTCAAGAAATTGACGGCATTCTTATACACCAATGATGAACCCACAGAAAGAGAAACTGAAAAAACAATCCCATTTACCTTCATGGCAAAAAAATTAGGATACCTAGGAATAAACTTAACCAAAGAAGTAAAGAACCTATATGCAGAAAACTACAGGACATGGCAAAAAGAAATAGAGAAAGATATAAAAAAGTGGAAGCACATACCTTGTTCATGGAATGGAAGAATTAACATCATTAAAATGTCCATACTACCCAAAGCAATCTATAGATTCAATGCAATCCCCATCAAATACCAACAACATACTTCACAGAACTAGAACAAATATTTCAAAAGGTCATATGGAACCAAAAAAGACCCCCAATCTTGAAAAAGAAGAACAAAGTAGGCAGGATCACAATACCGGATGTCAGGTTATACTACAAAGCTACTGTAATCAAAACAGCCTGGTACTGGCACAAGAACAGGCACTTAGATCAATGGAATAGAACAGAGAATCCAGAAATGGACCCAAAATATTATGCTCAACTAATATTTGATAAAAGAGGCAAGAGCATACAATGGAATAAAGACAGCCTCTTTAATAAATTGTGTTGGGAAAATTGGACAGCTACATGCCAAAAAAATGAAACTAGACCATCAACCTACACCATACACAAGAATAAGCTCAAAATGGATAAAAGACTTAAATGTGACTTGTGAATCCATAAAAATTCTAGAAGAAAATGTAGGCAACAAAATTTCAGACATCATACGCAGCAGAATTTTCACTGATATATCATCTAAGGCCACAGAAACAAAGGAGAAAATGAACACAGGGGGGCTACATCAAACTCAAAAGCTTCTTCACAGCAAAAGAAACAACCATCAAAATGGAAAGGCAACCCACTCTATGGGAGAGCATAATTGCCAATGATACATCAGATAAGGGGTTAATTTCCTAAATATATGGAGTGTTCATACAACTCAACAAAAGGAAGACGAAGAACCCTATTAAAAAATGGGCAGAGGAGCTAAATAGACACCTCTTCAAACAGGACATACAAATGGCTAAGAGACATATAAAGAAATGCTCAACATCACTAATCATCAGAGAGGTGCACATTAAAACAATGAGATATCACCTCACACCTGTCAGAAAGGCCGCCATCAACAAATCATCAAACAAGTGTTGGCAAGGGTGTGGAGAAAAGGGGACTCTAGTACACTGCTGGTGGGAATGCAGACTGGTGCAGCCACTCTGAAAACAATATGGTGTTACCTCAAAAAATTAAAAATTGAACTGCCATTTGACCCAGTGATCCCATTTCTAGGAATATACCCTAAGAAGCCTGAAACATCAATCAGAAAGAATATATGTACCCCCATGTTCATAGCAGCACTATTTACAATAGCTAAGATCTGGAAACAGCCCAAGTGTCCATCAGTAGACAAATGGATAAAAAAGCAGTGGTACATATACACAATGGAGTACTATGCAGCTGTAAGAAAGAAAGATCGTCTATCCTTTGAGACGACATGGAGGGACCTGGAAAGTATTATCCTAAGCGAAACAAGCCAAGCAGAGAAAGACAAGTATCATATGATCTCACTTATATATGGAATGTAATGAACATAACAGTCTGAAGAACAGGCTAGTCCCAGAGATGTGGAAGTAGTGTAAAGACTGACAATCCCCAGAAGAGGGGTAGGGGAGATAAACCACAAACATGTATGCATAACCAACAGACATGGACAACAAAGCTGGGGACAGGGCGGGGAGGGAGGGAGAGGAGGGTGTCAAAGGGGGGAAAAGGAGAAACATCTGTAACAAAAATAAATAAATAAATAATTTTTTTTTAAAAAGGTATGTTAACCTAGATGCACAGAAGCAATGGGCAAAACTAGTTTAAGGCCTTTTACATAGAAGTTATTGCCTAGGGTCGACTATCCACCCTCACCTGCCCAGTTAGGACTTCCTGATCAGATCATCTTTCAAGGTTACTTTCCACAGAACTCCCTTTTTCATCCACAGTAGCGTTTAAATGGCAGGCACTGTTCAGAGTTTGACGTGCGAACACATGCACAGGTAAGGATTAACACATGTCCCCAAAAAATTTAACTAGGCATCTTATATTTTTATCTGTTAAGTCAGGCAACCCTAACTCGAATACCGAAACACACCCAGAACTCCACAGGAACTGAACTAGGGGACAAGACCTGGGCAATAAGGTAAAATTAGTCCACCTCCTTAGCTAAGTAGGAAGCAACTTTCTTCAACTATGACACATCAAATCTGATTCCTTTACGAGCCACTCCCAAGGCTCTTACTTGACTGCTTACTCTGGATGCCTGGGCTGCAACTTAAATTTGAGACTAAAATGGAGCTGCCGGCCTTTTATGACCTGCTCCCACCATGGTCTTCCCTGTTTCAGTGAATCACAACTTTATCTTCCAGCTGTTCGAGCCAGACACTCTAAAGTCATTGTTTACTCCTTTCTTCTCACCTCTGATATCTGGTCTGTCAGTGAACACAGTCAACTCTCTTTTTTTCCCTTTATTTTTTCCCATCACCATTTATCCCCCCATATCATCTTCCACCCACTAAGTCCCCCTCCCACTCCACCCCCCAATCACCACACTGTGCCTATCAACTCTCTTTAAAACATATCCGGAATCTGACCACTCCTCACCACCTCATTTCTGCCATCCCAGTCTAAGCCACAGTCATCTTGGCTGGATTATAGCAGCAGCCTCCTAAAAGGCCTTCCTGCTTCAGCCCTTGTCCCCTACACTGTCTTCAAAAAGCAGGAGCTAAAATGATCCTTTTAACATAGCAGTCATATCGAGTCACTCTACTCAAAATCCTTTAAAGGCTTATTTCTTTCAGGAAAACACAATACTCTCACCTTTACTTCAATGCCTTATACAATCATCTCTATGTTCCATTTGCCTTTTTCCCCCTTTTTATTTAATTGAATTTATTAGGGTGACATTGGTTTGCAAAACCATACAGGTTTCAAGAGTATGACTCAATAAAACATCACCTGCGCACTGAATCGTGTGCCTATCATCCCAAGCAAAGTCTCTTTTCGTCCCCATTCTCCTCACCTTTAACCACCTCTCCCTACCCCCAACCCCCTTTCCCTCTGGTTACCATCACACTGTTGTCTGTGTCTGTGCGATATGTACATATTTTTTTTGGTTAATCCCTTCACCTTCTTTCATCCAGACCCTCTACCCCCTCACCTCTTACAGTTGTCATTCTGTTCCCTGTATCCCTGCTTCTGTTTCTATTTTGTTCATCTGTTTATTTTGTTTATTAGATCCCACATATAAGAGAGATCGTATATGCATCTTTCTCTGACTGGCTTATTTCATTTAACATAATAATCTCCAGGTCCATCCATGCTGTCACAAACTTGAAGACTTCCTTCTAAAGTCAATGTCATAACTGGCTGTTGGTTTTTGCAAATTTATTTCTCTCTTTTCACTGCTTTAGTCCTTTCCTCTTCTCAGACAAACTTCCTTTGCTTATAAAGCTTATCTTCTAGTGTGGAGAGACAGGCAGGAAGGGATGCAATCAAGCAGGAAGGGCAGCCAGACAGCGGCAGCATAGAGCAGAGTTCAATTTTAAATATGGAGGTCTGGAAAGTGCTCATGGAGAGGGCGACATCTGAGCAGAGGCTTGGGTGACACGAGGAAGAAAGCAATGTGGGTAACTAGAGGTTGAGGGGTGGCCAGTGCAAAGGACTTAAGGTGGGAGTGTGCTTGGGGAGCACACAGACTAAGTAAAGGGAAGGCGAAAAAATGGGAGTCCATTAGCTGGACTTGGCATTTTACTTGGAGTGAGATGGGTGGGCATTGGAGGGTTTTGAGCAGAGGCATGTCATGATCTGATAGTTTCAAAAGAATCATCAGGAGACTGAAATGAGAACAGATTGAATGGGTATGGCCTGATTTGATCAACATTTGGCAAAGCTGACTCTGACTGTAAAGAAGAGATTGTAAAGGAAACAAGACTGAAAGCAGGGAGAGCAATTAAAAGACTGGGGCATCTGCCCCAGTGAGAAAAGTCACTCAGCACATTCTCCAAAATCCCACCCACTCCATCCTTTCAGAATGGCTGGGGTATTGGTCAGGCATGTAGACATACCCTACAAACCCACAAGCCTCCACTCTTGCTCCTTTACAGGAAGTGAATGGAGAAAAGTCTCCTGAGTATAGCTTATGTTAAAAAGAAACATACCAAGTCAGCACACAATTAAGAAAGAGACAATATGTCAGTTGTCCTTATCTCACTAAGATCATTTTGTCCAAATAAAATCAAATCACCCAGGCCCTTTACCACATCAGAAAGTCAAGCAATAGGACACTTGTCTTAATTTCCTCCAAAGGACTGTTTGCAGCCCATGCTGGTAGGCTCTGACATTAAAAACAAGAAGTCAGGAAAGTAAGCAGAGTCAGCATGCACTTTAAAAGTAAGGAGTTTTTTACCTGTTGCTCCAAACACTGCAATCACTTTCTTGTTGGTCATGTTACTAGACAAAGAAAGAGTTAGTGGAGTAGCCAAACTTTCCTCTGAGCAGCGACAGCAGCTAAGATAGTTTCTCTTCAAGCATGAGAGTTATAAACCTTGTCTGATTACCACACCCTTTATTCTGCCCCTCCTTGGTATAGCTTTTGTTGTCATTACCAATTAGCTTACTCACTCTGAAACTGCAATTTTCCACACAAATTTCATTTGTTCACTCACTCATGTGTTCAGCAAATGTGTATTGAGTGACTTTGGTATACTAGGCATTGAACTAGAGCAGTGATTCAGATCTTGTAATGAAGAAAAACTAGTAAATGAAAGTACAATAGAAAGCCCTGGTCTGGTTGTTTAGTTGGTTAGTGGTTCATCCTGATAAGCCAAGGTTGCGGTTTGATCTCTGGTAGGGGCACATAGAAGAATCAACCAATTAATGCATAAATAAGTGGAATAACAAATGAATGTTTCTCTCTCTCCCCTCTCTTCCTGGAAATCAATTTTTTTAAAAAGTACAGTAGAGAGGAATTGCAGAGAGGACACAGATTATGGAGGAAAGACACAAAACCTACCCTGAAGGTGTTAGGGAAGTTTTTTCAGAGGAGATGATGCCGGAGTTGCTGGAGCTGGCCTGAAGACCCCATGAATTTTTCAGTCAGGGAAAGCAAGTTGTGTGATTGCAGGTTGTGAAGAAAAAACTACACACACACATCCTGGCAGTTTTTCTAAGTGGTTAGAGCATCAGCCAGCTGACCAAAGGGGCATGGGTTTGATTCCTGGTCAAGGGCACATATCGGGGTTGCAGGTTCAATCCCTGGACCCCAACCGGAGCTGTGCAGGAGGCAACTGATCGATGTGCCTCTCTCACATAGGTGTTTTTCTCTCTCTCCCTACCTCCCTTCCACTCTATCTAAACATCAATGGAGAAATATCCTTGGGTGAGGATTAACAACAACAAAAAAATTATACACACGCACACACATACACATATATAGACTAAGAGCAGTTGAGTGATTTTACACAATAGGTTGGTGGTAGAGCCAGAGGACTGACTGGGCATAACATGGCATTCATTATTGCTCTCAAAGTACAATGAAATGCACATCCTAAGAACTGACTTTTAAAAATTAAAAGCCTGTGCCCAGCTAGTGTGGCTCAGTGGATTGAGTGTCGTCCCATGGACTGAGCAGTCCTGGTTCAATTTCTGGTCAGGGCACATGCCCAGGATGAGGGCTCAATTCCGGGGGGGGGGGGGGGGAGTGCAGGAGGCAGTCAATTGATGCGTCTCTCTCACATCAATGTTTCTATCTCTCTCCCTTCCTCTCTCTCTAAAAAATCAATAACAACATATTTAAAAATAAAGAAATTAAAAGCCTGTGAGGACATAGCAGCACTGTTAACAGTAGCCCAAAGTTGTAAACAACCCAAATGTCCATCAAGAGTAGAAGGGATAAAGTGTAGCATGTTCATACAATGACATACCACAGAGCAACAAGAATGAATAAACCATTGCAACATGTGACAACCTGGAAAAATCTCGCAAATAAAATGTTTAGCAAAAGAGTAAAGGAATACCTAGCCCAGCAATTTTTAATCAGTGTGCTGTGGCACACTGGTGTGCAGCAAGAATTTTTAAACATGGCTATTTAGTCAGGGGCACTCACCTCTTTTCCCTTAGATTGTCAAATTTTAAAAATTACAACAGCCAACACAACAATAGCTATCTGCTGTGAATAAATCAAAATTATACCTTTTTTGTTGTTAGCTCGGCAAAAAACTGTATTTTTTGGTGTGCCACAGAATCTCAGTAATTAGTTTGTGTGTGCCATGAGCTGAAAAAGGTTGAAAATTGCTAACTTAGAATATGATTTCAGTTTCCATAACATTCAAAAGCAGGAAAAACTAATCTATGGTGATAGACATCAGAATAATGGTTACTTTTGAGGCTAATGATTGGAAGCAGCTTATGGGGGCTTCTGTGGGGGCTACTATGGGCTGTAATGCTCTATTTCTTTATTTTATTTTATTTTTAATTTAAAATGTTTTTATACTGTTCTATTTCTTGATCTGGGTGATGATCACATGTGTGAGTTCATTTTGTGAAAATGTATCAAGCTATACAGTTAAGATCTGTACAGTTTTCTCCACATTTATATTTCATTAGAAAGTTTACTTCAAAAATAATCTATAGGAAAAACAAGAAGTGACTGAACAGGAAAAGCTAAAATGGGCAGGTACCAGCCTGTAAACATTCGTGCTGAAAGCAACAAAACTTTGGCTTCTTAACTAGCTAAATCCCTTCCAGGACAAGTAGGAACACAGTAAGTGTTCAACAATTTCTCAGTATTATTACAGTAAAATTTAAGCAAAATTGTTGATGTTCTGAAAAGGGAAAAATCACTTGTCACTTGGAGAGAAGCAGGATAAAGGAACAAAATCAAGGTAAGTGCTTGTGAAAGGTCAAGTATTCCAGCTCAGATAGGAATTAGGATTGTTGAGCTAGGTACAAAAGATATTCCTAGTACAGGAAAAAGCTTTATAAGCCCCTTACTGTTTTAAGCATAGAAACATCTAGATGAAGCTCTTTGCTTTTGCTTTTGTTTCTCATATATATGTATTTTTTTATCTTCACCCGTGGACATGTTTCCATTTTTTTGTTCAGATAGAGTGGGAGAGAAAGAGAGGAAGAGAGAGAGAGAGAGAAAAACATCAACGTGAAAGGGACACATCGAGTGGCTGCCTCCAGCACTACCCAACCAGGGCCGGGGACAAACTGCAACCGAGGTACGTGCCCTTAGCGGGAACTGAACCCAGGTCTCTCTGGACAGCAGGCCAACGCTCTAACCACAGAGCCAAACCGGCCAGGGCTGTTTCTCATATTTCAATTGACTTTTCTTCTTTCAAATAATGCATTCTCATGATAAAAATTTGAAAAATTCTGTTAAGTGTAAATAACTAGGAACATTTTTCTTATACTATCACTACTCTGAGGGAACCACACTTAGCATATTTAGTCTCATATTTTTAATGCATTTTTTTTTCCTTTACACCGAGATGACTATGAACAATTTGGTATCTATTGAGAAAAATAAAAATGAACCAAAAAAAAAGGTAAACAAAACAATAAAAACATGTTAGTATATTCAAGATTTTATTAATTAGAATTCTTATTTGCCAACAACAGGCACTGATTATGGAAATCATTCAAAAGATATGAGACAATCTCAGAATCTTCAGAAATGCTGAAAACAGAGCTCAGAGAGGATGAGGAGCCAGGTCATATATAAAAATGATATTGCAGAACTGGTCTGGCAAAGACACCATGGCTGCTGCCTCTGAGCACAGCCATCACAGTTTATAACCACCAACACTATGAACTCTGGATATGGACCAAGGAAATCAGAACTGCTACCCTGCTGCCTCTGGTAACTGCATGTAGTTGTTGCTGTGGTCTCTACCCATTTTCAGAATGTATTCTCCACAATATTGTTCCTTTGCATCACTAATTTCAGATTCCAAGACTGGAATAGACTGTAGCTGTCGGGAAAGCAAATATCTGGGATCTATGACTTCTGTAATAGAATCAGACTCTGCTACATGTGGATTCCCCCAAACATAGGGAAGGAATTCAGATGCTAAGTGACCATAAGAAAGACAAATTTCCACCACAGTCTACCCTTTTGGCTCCCCCAAATCAACACATACATTTCTTCTCACACATACTTTTATTTATTTTTATTTTTCAGTTTTTATTAATTTATGTTACAGAAGTTTCTCCCCCCCACCCCGAAACCCTCTTCCCCAACCCTCCCCCCCAGGACTCTTGTCTATGGCCACTGTTTATGCATACATGCGTATACATTCATTGGTTATCTCATCCATCACCCCCAACCCCCTCCTCTGACGTCTGTCAGTCTGAACCTTACTCCTTTCTATGTCTCTGGGTCTATTTTGTTCATCAGCTTATTTTGTTCATTATATTCCATAAATAAGTGAGATCATGTGGTATATGTCTTTCTCAGATTGGCTTATTTTGCTTAGCATAATACTCTCGAGGTGCCTCCATGCCGTATCAAAGGAGAAAGAAATCTTTCTTTCTTACAGCTGCATAGTATTCCATTGAATATATGTACCACAGCTTTTTTATCCACTCATCCACTGATGGACACTTGGGCTGTTTCTAGATCTTAGCAATTGTAAATAGTGCTGCTATGAACAAAGGGGTACATATATTCTTTCTGATTGGTGTTTCAGGCTTTGTAGGATATATTCCTAGAAGTGGAATCACTGGGTTAAATGGTAGATCAATTTCTTTTTCTTTTTTTTTGGCTTTAACATTTTTTTAAATTTATTTATTTTTGTTACAAATGTTTCTTCTTCTTTTCCCCATTGACACCCTCTTCCCCATCCTCCCACCCCGTACCCAGCTCTGTTGTCCGTGTCCATCAGTTACGCATACATGCATATAAGTCCTGTGATTTATTTCTTCCCTCCCCCCCACCACCCTCTCTTCTGACGATTGTCAGTTTGTACCCTACTTCCATGTCTCTGGGTCTACCCTATTTCTCAGACTGTTATGTTCATTATATTCCACAAATAAGTGAAATCATGTGATATTTGTCTTTCTCAGCTTGGCTTATTTCACTTAGGATAATAATTTCCAGGTCCCTCCATGTCGTCTCAAAGGATAAGAGACCTTTCTTTCTTACAGCTGCATAGTACTCCATTGTGTATATGTACCACTGTTTTTTTATCCATTTGTCTTACTGATGGACATTGGGCTGTTTTCAGATCTTAGCTATTGTAAATAGTGCTGCTATGAACATGGGGATACATATATTCTCTCTGATTGGTGTTTCAGGCTTCTTAGGGTATATTCCCAGGAGTGGGAATACTGGGTCAAATGGCAGTTCAATTTTAATTTTTTGAGGTAACACCATAGTGTTTTCCATAGTGGCTGCACCAGTCTGCATTCCCACCAGCAGTGTACTAGAGTCCCCTTTTCTCCACACCCTCACCATCACTTGTTGTTTGATGATTTGTTGATGGTGGCCATTCTAACAGCTGTAAGAATGTTGCTTTAAATTGCATCA